AAAAACTGAAAAACCTCATTCTTGATTGAGTTATTATTTGTAGTAAAAGTTAAAAATATATTTTGGTCTACTTTTTTATTGTTTATATGCATGTTTATGTTTATAGAAGTTTATTCCTACATATTTTATTTATTGTTCTTATACTTTTTACTTTTTAATTTATATATTGGTTTACTCTTGTATAAAAAGCTGGTGAGAAGATTTTCTTGATCTTTTTTCAGACACAGATTGTTTGCCTTGCAATTTTGTAAAAGTTTATTAATTTTTTTTTATCTTTGTTAAATGCTTTTTTAAGGTTCTGACGACAAGATCCTTGCGATCTTCTTTCAGATACCTTGTTTATGTATGTTATGTTTTATGTCATTGTTAGTTTATATTATTATTTTTAATATTGGTTATTTAAAGCTGTACAACGATTAACAAATGTAAACCAAAAAAAATAATAATAATAATTGTCGTTACTCGGAACAAATTGTTTACGATTTGACAAATAACTTTCAAACCATTTTAAAACTTTATTTTTTATTCCATAATGTTTAAGTTTATAGAAAAAAAAATCGGTGCTCGACCGTATCAAAGCTTTTGATAGGTTAATAAAAAGTCCTAACGAATATTGTGATTTTTGAAATGATTTTGAGATTTCACGTACATATTAAATAATTGCATGTTCAGTTGAGCTATCCTTTTTAAAACCGAATTGACAAATGTAAAGTAATTAATTAACCTGTTAAAAATTTATATACTCTGTTATATATAATTATTTCTAAAATTTTTGAAAATGCGGAAAGAACAGAAGAGGGCGATAGTTACTAATAATTGATTTTTCCCCGTCTTTGAAAATAGGAATAATTTTGGCAATTTTTAATGGTTCGCGGAAAATACCTTGATGGATAGAAGCTTTAAAAACTTTAAAAAGAACAACTTTTAGCTGTTCAAAACAATATATAATAACGTTTTCATTTATTTGATCTGCTCCAATTGCTTTACTTTTATTTTTTTTTTGATGATTTGAAGGCTCTTTCAAACTTTTCAAACAATAATTTAGAAGACAATTCAGTTAGCTATGGATGCTAAAAAATCAGTAAATGAAGACTTGGTCTTAGGGATTTTGGACAATGTTGGACCTATATCAATAAAAAAATTTGTTAAGTTCTTGGCTCATATAAACTTTTGTTACCGACTGTAACCATTTGTGGCAGGAAAACCGAGCATGATTTTTGTTTTTCAATAATTTCTTTCATTATTTGCCACGAGCGTTTTGTGTCATTTTTAAATGTATTTAGTAATTGGGAGTAATATATTTTTTTTAAGTTTTTGCGAAATTTTTCAAATAGATTTTTTTTTGGCCTCATAATTTTTTTTGAGTTGAAACTAGCTTTCTAAACTTAACCCTCATGAAAGTTTAATCCATGACTGAGCAGACAATACTGTCGCTGATGGTCAACCCAAATTCGGCCACTTTTTCTGTGACAAATGCTGCAGTTTCTTCAACTAGCAGTGATTCAGAAATTCGAGTCAAGCCCAGATTCCAGTATGTATGTTTTTGATGAACAATAATATTCATGTACCTTCAATTTTTCAAAGAAGCGTACTCATTAAAATATTTTAAAACGCTTTTCAATTACCTGTGTAATTGAAAAGCGTTTTAAAATATTTTAAAGCTTTTATGAGCATAAATATTCTGATTACCAACTTTTTTTTTAGATTTTTGTTAGAGACAAACAAAAAAACAAGGTGGAGGAGTTCTTATTTACGTAAAGGAAAGCAGTATACATAATATTAGGAATGGTATCTGGGTTTCTGACGGTGATAAAGAAATCACAACGAAATTTTAAACAATAAAAAAATAAATACTCTATTAGGTGTGGCTGAAAATCATAACTTATTTTTACAGCAAAATATTATTCACAAAGGTAGCAAAGAAAAGAAAATTAATTTTATAATTGAAAATTTTAAATGGATTGTTTAGTTTAATGTAAAGTATAGTAAAAATCTTTTACCGAAATTTACCGACATAAATTTACTGGTAAATCGGTAAAACCGATTTACCGGTTAATTTTCGGTAAATGCTCAACCCTAATATGCAGAAGAGTATATTCAATAAAATTGTAGACATTTTTTACAATGTTCACGCTAATGTCATCTAGTCCTGGACTTTTGTTTTGTTGTAAGGTATTTTTAAGCTCATCCAGATTTGTTTCAAGCTCGTTTATGACTAAGGCTTTATTATTATTTTATTAGCTAGCTATTCCCAAATTTTAATAAAATAGTTATTAAATTTCTCTGCAATATCTATTGCCTTATTGGTTACTGTATTATTCTCATCTGTTTTTAAGTATTGCGGGAACACTTTGGTGGCATCTTTTTTCCCCGGTTGCTTCTTTTATTACGCCCTATGTTTTTTTGGTGTTACAGCAATAATTTTCTGCAATAATAACTTTTTTTTGAATGTTTTCTTAATTTTTCAAATAGATTTTTGTATTGTTTAAATATTTTTTTGCTTTTTTAAGTCTTTTTTTTTCAAAACTTTTCATAAAGTTTTTTTTTTTTGAAGATTTAATAAGCTCTTTTATCATCCAAGGACTTTTAAGGTTTTTGAGTTTAATTAAAACGCTTTTTCGTACAAACTTGTAAAAGTGTGTTTGAAAATATCGTGAGCTGAGTTATTTTCTTTGCAATTAACAACCTGACCTAACTGCAGACCAAAAAGTGTTTAAGGTCAGCAAAAAAGAGGTTACCATGATAAAAAAAGAGGTTACAGACCTGATGCCGATCTCTAACAGTTTGATATTGGCATTTAACTGGCGACTTCATTTTTTATAATGATTATTATAATTTTTATAATTTATATATATATATATATATGTATATTTATACATATATATATATATACAAATTTACATATATATATATATATATATATATATATATATATATATATATATATATATATATATATATATATATATATATACAATTTTACATATATATATATATATATATATACATGTATATATATACATATATATGTATGTATATATATATATATATATATATATATATATATATATATACATATTTATATATATATATATATATATATATATATATATATATATATATATATATATAAACATATTTATATATATATATATATATATATATATATATATATATATATATATATATATATATATATATATATATATAATATATATAAATATACAAATATACAAATATATATATATATATATATATATATATATATATATATATATATATATATATATATATATATATATATATATTTGTATATTTGTATATATATATATATATATATATATTGCAACTAAATATAACATATCAGTTTTGAAAGAAGCATAAACTTTATATTTAATTTTGTCTCAAAGTTGACTATTATGGCCCCAGAGCCGGTTGGTGGCTTTCAGAGGGCCCTGGTGCAAAGTGTGTATGAGGGGAAAAGCAATATAATAATTTCCTTTAAAAAATGATTTCTAATATTTTCTGAATTTGCCGACTAAATGAATTAAAATCCATTGAAGGAGGGGGAGATGTATCACCTCCAACATCAATGGATTTTATCAACTGACACACCCTACCCCCCCTCCTCTTTGCAATGGCCTGGCTTAAAAAAACCGCAAATCAAGTGTCTGGATTGGTTTGCAGTGGTAACAATTAAAGATAAAAAGAACTCATTACATATATTTACAAAATGTTCATTTTTATTTTTTATTCTCCCCAAAAAAATGGGGCCCCTGAAATTTGAGAGAATGTGAGACCCCGGTGCGTTGCAACCTTTGCACCTCCCTACGGACCGTCCCTGTATGGCTCACCGTGACAAACATTTGTAGTGGTTATAGTGGTAGTGCGCTCGCTTTATAAGCGAGAATTTCCGAATTCGATCCCCACCAACTTATTTCTCTGCGCAGCCGCCTCGTCAAAGTTCACGTTTCGGAGTTATAGAGATGAAAGAAGTTTTATAATCACAATTTCTTGACTGCAGTGGCCTTCTCGGGAAATAACCATTAAAAAAAAAAATTCGTTGTGCCGCAGAATCGCGACGCAACAAATTAAAGGTCAAAATTTTTGATTTATGATATATAATTTTTTATCTATACTAATGAACTTTTATTGTTATTATTTTCATTTTTAGTTATAATAATTAAATATAGTACCAATATCGCGATTTACTTTTATTCTTATATATCCAAAACACGGCGATCTAGACTACAGTCCTTGCCAACGCGCGAACGGCGTATTCGACTGGGGGTCTATTTTATAAACTGAATATATATATATATATATATATATATATATATATATATATATATATATATATATATATATATATATATATATATATATATATATATATATATATATATATATATATATTATTTTAAAACATCAAAAATACGATTTCTCTCAACACTTATAATTTTTTTATTATTATAGAAATTTTCGCTGGATTTTAGATACCAGCTTCTTCAGCTTGTTAAATGTTACAGTAATTAATAAAATCGTTATAATTTAAATTAAAACGTTGCTATTGACGTCAGCTGTTGAATGGCTTCTTTTTCGCTGAAATTTAAAAAATGGCGTCCAAAACTCGTTTTAGATTTGAACTTTTAGTCAGCATAAAAAACGATTCTAGGAAACGATTCTTTAACCTTATGAATGACGTTAAAAATCTTCAACGTTCGCTTAAATGTCACCTAGACGATAAAGACTACATTAAATTAGAACAAATCACTGAAAAAGCTCGGGAGAATATGTTTATAAAGTCAAAAGAACGATTAGTGAAAAAATTTCTAATATTGCAAAATGAACGTGAAAATAAAAACGATAATGCCGAAAAAACAACAAATTATAAAAAGAATGCTGTCCTAAACTTATGCGATACCGACATTCCAGTAAGTCATAATAATTTTCTAAACCTCGGTCCACACTTTGTACCATCTTTAAAGTCGATACCATATATGGATATTATTACAGCCACGGAATCCTCTGCGTTAAAATTAGAATACAACAATAAAATTGAAAATGCCCAAGACCTAAGGAAAAATGTTTTAAGAGAACTAAAAACCGGAAAAAAATTAAATAATAATCTTACAAAAGAACAATGGAAAGCTTATAGAGAAATAAAAGAGGAAAAAAACGTTGACATATATCCATTCGACAAAGGGACAGGTTTTGTACGAATTGAACATTCAAAAGCCTTGGAAAAAATTCGCGAACAAATAGGCCCAACAAAAATAGTAAGTGAAGACCCTACTGCAAATTACGCGGCTAAAATTCGTAGATGTCTTTCAAAACTAAATAAAAGAAACTGTTTTTCAAAAGAGGAATACGAAAAAATATATCCTAGTGATCCCATCCCGCCTCGTATGTATGGTGTAATCAAAGCCCACAAACCTGAAAAATTCTATCCTATGAGAATAATTATCTCCACAATCGGCACACCAAACTACGGAATATCTGAGTTCTTAGTTAAGATAATACAACCAGTTTTGAATGAAAACTTGACAAGATTAAAAAATTCCTTTGACTTTATTAAAAAAGCTGAATCTTGGAAAATTGACAATGATGAAGTTCAGGTATCTTTTGATGTCGTAAATCTGTATCCGTCGGTTCCTTTAAAAGAAGCCACCCTTGTACTTATAGAAAAATTAAATAATAATACAACATATAAAAAACTAACAAGACTAAGTATACCTGAGATAAAACAACTTATAGAACTTTGTTTATTTCAATGTTATTTTCATTGGAACAATGAAATTCATATAATGGAAAACTCGGGTCCAATTGGACTTTCGTTCATGGTCGTTCTTGCAGAATCATTTCTACAATTCCATGAAAACAATGCAATTAAAGTTGCACTAAATTTCAACCCTGCACTTAACCTCAAATCGTTCTTAAGATATGTCGATGATAGTCACGCCAGGTTTCCAGATCTCAACCAAGCAAAACATTTCCAATACATTTTAAATCAACAACATCCTTCCATCCAGTATAAAATTGAAGTTGAAAACGAGTTAGGAACACTAAATTATCTGGATATACAAATTATGAATAAAAAAACAGGAAAGTATGAATACGCAGTATATCGGAAAGATGCTATCACTAACATTCAAATTAAGCCACACTCAAATCATGATCCAAATATCTTGAACTCTATTTTTAAAGGATTTCTCCACCGAGCTTACTCAATCTGTAGTAAGTCTTACTTGCAAAATGAAATAAATTTTCTAATCGACGTGTTTATTGAAAATGGTTACGATAAAACTCAAATGATGAATATTGCGCATCAGTTTCAACACAAAAGACAAAATAAAATTACAATTCCATCTGAAATCAATAATTATCCTGTAGTTTCCTTACCATGGGTACCCGGTCTCTCACCAAAACTTAGGAAAATATTCCGAAAAGCTGGTTACAGAGCGGTATTCAAATCAAACCCAAACTTAAGATCCCTGTTAACATCAAAAAATAAATCAAAACTACCTAATAACAGTCAACCGGGAACATATATAATCAAATGCAACTGTTCAAAAGTGTATGTAGGCGAAACAAAAATGAAAGTAAACACACGAATGCATCAACACCAAAAAAGCATTGATGAAAATAAGCAGCATCAATCCGCATTAGCTCTGCATAAAACATTTTGCAAAAAAGAAATTATTTGGGAACAAACAAAAACATTAAAAGTAGAAAATAAAAAATTTGAAAGAAAAGTTAGGGAAGCCCTAGAAATACAAAAAAACATGTGTTCTGCAAAAAATGGCGGGATTAATCTCGATGAGGGTCAATACGTAAAAACTAAGTTTTGGACGCCATTTTTTAAATTTCAGCGAAAAAGAAGCCATTCAACAGCTGACGTCAATAGCAACGTTTTAATTTAAATTATAACGATTTTATTAATTACTGTAACATTTAACAAGCTGAAGAAGCTGGTATCTAAAATCCAGCGAAAATTTCTATAATAATAAAAAAATTATAAGTGTTGAGAGAAATCGTATTTTTGATGTTTTAAAATAATATATAAATATACTCTCACACAAGATGTTATCCTTTAAATCATATATATATATATATATATATATATATATATATATATATATATATATACATATATATATATATGCGTGTGTGTTTGTATATATATATATATATATATATATATATATATATATATATATATATATATATATATATATATATATATATATATATATATATATATATATATATATTATATATATACACACATACAAACACACATGCGTATAACATACACGTTCTTTATTTGTAAGGCCGTGCGATTAACCGAACCGAACCGTTCTTTCCGAACCGAAACAAAAAAACCGAATCAAACCGAACCGATCTAAATGTTTAAAGTAAAATAAAAACCGAACCGTAACCAAAAAAAATTCTTAAAACCGGTTTAAAATTTCAATTAAATTCTTTAATATAAAATAATATAAGTTTATTTTAAATAACATATAATTTTTATTTAATTTAAGAAAATTCAAGCCACAGAAAAGCAAAGTAAAATAGGGAACAATGTTAACATTATAAAATAGTCCGCCAACAGCTTGTCGTGAAATTAAAACAAATGTTGCGGACCACTACGAAGTTAGATTTTTTGAGTGTAAGTCTTGTAAAATGTAAGTTTTGTATAAGCTTTTTCTAAAAAGCTGCATTTTTTATTTTAATTAAATTTCTAATATTGTTTATAATATTTAGCTTATAACATTGTTATTTAAAAAAATTTTTTTCTAAACTATTTTTATTGTATAAATAATAAAACTGATATAGCCAAAAAAAAATGTTGTTTAAATTAGGGTTGTTAACCGGAGGATTTCGTGCAATTCCGGAAAAACAACATTCTTTCGTTAGGAGATTGAGAACGCGGAATTACATTTTTTCGTACCGAATGTTACAAAACATTTAAAATCGCCGATGTTCATTTCGCAAAAGCCACTTCCGAAATTTAGCATTTCGCAAGTTGACATACGAAACAAAACTATTTTGCAACATACGAAAGTAGCGGTTTCGGAAGTCGCACTTGCGAAACAAACATTTTCGCCAAACGACGTTTTGAAGTCTCTAGAGAAAATTTGTTTGCCAGACTGATTTTAATTGTAAAAATTAACATCTTTAAATCCCAAAATGTTTATAATGAATTTTTATAACTCAGTATAATAACTATTAAATTTTTATGGTTTTATTTTTAGAAATATTAATAAAAAATAAAATTTCTTTCGAAACGAAAGTATTTCGGATCACAACATACGAAAGAATTCTTAACGGAAATCAACTTACGAAACGTGCCATAATAAATATATACAAAGATGTTTTTTGAACTCATTACGTATATTAAAAATAAGAATGATGGGTAGGAATATACATGTTTTTTTTTTAATAGCATATGAAATTTTTGAAACAGGTTCGAATATGCTTAAGCAAATAGTAAAAAGAGGCTCAAAAATATGCTTTAGCTTAAGCATATTTCTGATAAAATATACCTATTTCAATAATTTTAAAAGTGTTCACGTTACTAAAGTTCTAGCAGATTTTAAAGGTATGTAGAGTCCTGTTTGAATACGCTTTTCGAAGTATAGATCTTAGAAAATATTGTTTTTTAATTTTAATAAGATATAAATTTGAGTATAAGATTGTATAGTTCAATCAGTTAGATACGTGATAATTCGCCGCAGAGATCCCGGTTCGCATCCCGCAGCCATTGTAACATCAAACTCTTTTTACTTAAGATAGCATTTTTTGACCTCCATGTTCTATATTACAGATCTTTCGTCACCTTCACAATAGTGACAACCTCTCTTCTGTTAGTTATTCTTTTAAGATTGAGTTCATTGTGCTTAATTCAACACGTTTCCCTTGCTTTACTAAGTTCTACTTAAATTATGATGAAATGTACGTAAAACAACTTTTTCAAATAATATAAATCATTTTGCTTTAAATCTTTTGCTTTTTGTACTAGACATCTGTCCTAAATATTTTGTAATAATTTCTAGCTAACTCTGAGTCTAATATAACCATTTCTGAATATAATTTCCCTGAGGCTCCTACAGCCTAATGTGTTCCATTAAAAGTAACTAGTTTTTGAGTCCAGATATTAATTACAAGCATCTAAAGGTTCACATTACTATTCATTTTCCTGATATATAGAATCCTATTTGCATTCGTATCTCTTTATGTAAATTCTGTTTTATATAGTTTCTTAATTGTGTATTAAATAAATATTACTATTCACTTAGTTGAATGAACGTATAGCTCATTCAGTTAAGACATTTGGCCGCGTAGACCCAGGTTCACATCCCGCTGTTTCACATATATTTCTTCTCTTTTTACTCTTTCTGATATCATTTACCTTTAGAGAGATCTCTCGTTCTTTATAATAAAGTATTTAATTGTTTATCACACATCCTCTTTATACTTTTTAAAAAGAAAGGCATACTGTTTATCTGTTCATTGAGAGTCCAACTTAACGGGATTTTACTGTATATATATGTATATATTTATATATATATGTATATATATATATATATATATATATATATATATATATATATATATATATATATATATATATATATATATATATATATATATATATATATATATACATATATATACAGTAAAATCCCGTTAATGTATATATATATATATATATATATATATATATATATATATATATATATATATATATATATATATATATATAAAAGGTATATTTGTATAAACATTTGAAGAATCATTTGACAACATTTTTTTATAATTTTATTATTTATTATTTAAACTGTTAACAGTTAATATCTTAAATATATCGTAACATAAAATCTTTTGCGTCTTTTTCGTAACTGCACATTCCGGAATGCTCCTTCCGTAATGAACTATTTAGTAAGTATTCTTACGAAATGATTTGTTTCGCAAGTCTTCTTTCGTAATGCGTTATTACGGAATTTTATTTATTTATATTTTCGTATAGAGCGTTACGGAATGTGCATTTTCGCATGTGCAACTTCCGCAATAACAATTCTATTACGGAAGATAAAAATGCGAAATTTTCGTAAGTTTTGTTTTTCGGCGAACAACCCTAGTTTAAATATTATTAAGCCTTTAGCCTAAACTTTAAGCTAAAGGCTTAATTTAATTATTTTAAGTCTTACATGCTCATAAAGTTTAGGAGCATGCAAGACGTAAAATAATTTAATATTATTTTACGTCTTGCATATACCAAATAATGTTCTAAAAATAACTAAAATACTTTTTAAGGATTTTGAAAAATTCTTAAGTTAAAGTTATTTATGTTGTTATCTGGTATTATACTTTTTCAAAATTAAACTTTTATTTATGTTTATTTATTTATGTTTATTATATGGTTTGGTTGTCTCATTAATCATTTTTATTTTATTTACATTAAAGATGCCGAAAGAAAGTGATATTTGGAAATTTTTTGAAAAGTCAAGTAAATTTGAAGCAAAATGTAAAATTTGCTTCAAATCTTATAAAACAAACTGTGGCAGTACTTCAACAATAACCAGTTACGTCAAAACTAAACATGAAGCATCTTGAAAAGAACATGTTTTAAAAACTACCGAGATACTTAATAAACAATAACTTAAAGAAAAAGAGACAAAAACAGCTACAATTGAAAGTTGCATTATAAAAAACCAAAAATATGGGTTAAATGATCCATCATTTAACCCATATTTTTGGTTTTTTATAAGCAATTAAAGTTTGACTTTGATTTAACAAAATTTATATGCAAACTTAGTCTACCTTTTGAAATTTTAGACAATGAAGGAGCACAAGACTTTATTGATGAAGTAAATTGCAAATTTACTGTAAAATCTGCATCAACACTTAGACGTCAAAAACTTCCTATGTTGTATGAAAAGGTAAAGGAGGGGTTGCAAATAAAATTTTTAAAAGATTTTCCAGAAGTAAGTGGAGTTAGTTTTACAACAGATCTCTAGACAAGTCGAAACAATGATTCTTACATGAGTCTTACAATTCACTACATTAGTTCAGACTTTGATTTAGAAAGTTTTTTAATTGCTTGCGCACCATTTACTGGTAGACACACTGGAGTTGCTATTGCAGTAAACCTGGACGCTTTTATTGCTAATTTAAACTTAAATGAAGAAGTTGACCGAGCTTGCGTTAATGACAACGGCAGCAACATTGTTTTAGCTGCTAAAGAAAGTGATGAAATTAATTCAGAATTGCGCTGCAATGATCACACAATCCAGCTAGTTATTCTAAAAGCAATCAAAAATTCAATTGAACTTTCTAAAGCAATAAAAAACTGTACAGATTTAGCATCACACACACAGAAGCGTGCTCTCTACATGCTTCAAAATGCTACATGCTTCAAAATGCTTGTGAAGAACTTGGAATAAAGCCCAGGAAATTGATTGTTCCATGTACAACACGATGGAATTCTGATAACATGTGCATAAAGTAAGTCCTTGAAGTCAAAGATGCAATCAGAACTCTTGCAAAAACTAATGATGAGTTTGAAAGGTTATGTCCCTCAAATGATCAATGGAAGACATTAAAATACAGCATTCCATTTTATGAAAAAATTTGCAATATTTCAGTAATCTTATCAGCCGATAAAAGACCAACAATCCAAGATGTGATACCTGAATTATATTCCTTGCACCAAGAGCTTCTTTCACATCAACATCACAAACACAAGCCAATAAAAACATTTTAAAAAATGCTGATTTGTGAACTGCAGAAAAGATATCCTTTTTATGGTGCTGAGCAGCTGATTAATTGTTTTGCAAATTTTTTAGACCCACGTTACAAAGGCCTGCATTTGATTGAATATAAAAAATGTGATGAAATAAAAGAAGCAATATTGACTCAGGAAAAAGAGAAAAAACATGAAAATGTTTTAATGAGTAGCAGCAAAACTGACAATGAAAGTGACGAAAATGTTAAAGTTAATCACCACGAACTGCTTAGAAAAAGACTTAAACAAGATATTTCAGCACGCAGTGCTTTAACGATGACTAAATTGGGTTTAGAAATTGATCATTATTTAGCAATCGAAACAGCTAAAGTAACAACAAATATTTTAGAGTGGTGGAAAACTATGAAGTTGCAGTATCCAATTTTATCGAACTATGCACGAAAATATCTTTGTATACCAGCAACTTCTGCAACTTCGGAGAGGTTTTTTCTACTGCTTTTTCGAACCAAACCGATCGAAAAAAAGTTTAAACCGAACCGAAAAAAAGTGAATCGTTACTTTTATTTTTAAGACCGAATCGAAAAAAACCGAACCGAAAAAAATCTTAACTGCGTGGCCTTATTTATTTGTACGTGGAGTAAAAAGTTTACATAAATTGTTAAAAAAAATATATATGAAAGAATATTTCCATGGTGTCGCTGCATCTCAAAATTGTAAAACTCTGAAATCATTAGAATATTGCTTAATGATACTCTGCATACTCTATCCTTAATTGCATTGATCTATAAAAGAAAATATTACATATTGACAGGTATTATCTGTGGGAATATTAGGCCCACCACGGTCAATTGAGTCTATTGTCCATACTTTTGGCGTTAAAAAGTGGTTTTATCTAGAAAATCATTTTCTGATATGTCTTTATTTTATAAGAGCCATATTTATATCAAGAGAAATAAAAGATTCGAGATCGTCAAATATCTTAGCCGAGAGCTCATCCAACAGAAAACCACAATTTGGACAAGAATGGGTTGTGTCAAGACTTGTCTCAACAGCTGGGTTATCAAGACTTGTCTCAACAGCTGGGTTATCAAGACTTGTTTCAACAGCTGGGTTATCAAGTGATAGCAAAAGCTTAGTTCTTGAAATATTCAACTTTTCAATCACTTGTTGTACTGTTATGAAATATGTACTTCCTGAAACTTGGCGCAATTTGCTAAATTCTTTTTCCAATGGATCAGTAGAAAACTCACTAAGAATGACATATTGATGTGAGCTATCCAATAATGATTTACATAGTTGAACAATACCACTGCATGTGTGGTAAATTAACTGTGCAGTGTCACAAGTAAGTTGTTTCTCCCTTTTACCTTTAAAGCCATATTTCCAAAATTTAAAATATTTTATAATCTATTATCATTAGGATCTCTAATTAGTTATTGAAGTTCATCATTGAATCTAATATCAGCACCTGTTCATTTAACATTGAGAACTTTCCACCATGACACAACAATTTTAATAAAACCTGCTGTATATTGTCTTTCTTTTATATGCTGCAGTCCTGGATGATTAATTAAATCATGGTAGGTTTTGTCACAAAATACTCTTAAACAGGTAGAAACTGACTGTCTTACAATCACCTTTGGAAATATTGAAACTTCATTTAAATTAGATAGTTTAACTAAATTTTTTGATTCAAGTTCATAAAGTTTTTTAAGATGGTCCCATTGACCCATTGAGCTACTTTACATACTTGATTGAAAAGAAATTGAATCAGCTTAAAAGAAAAACAACATTCCGATATCACGATCGATATAACTTGTAAATAGCGCCAATATGGCTATAACGAACTAAATAACAATTATGTGGCGACTATTTGAACAATAGTATTTTTGTTATTGAACGAAATTTTTTTTAAATAGAGTTTTGTTGTTGTCGTTTTTAAGATACAAAAATAAAAAGAATATAAGTAATATAGTTAATGTAAAAACGGTAAAGATCTTAAAAATATAAGTTAAAATACATATTCGGTATTATTTGTGATCGCCATCTGATCATAATTGGTAGCAGAGGGTAGTTTCTTCAACACGGAAGAATGGTAAAAAGAAAAAATCAAAAATCAAATAATCAAATGGAAGATCAGTTAACCGTTCAAAATGAAGTATCTGCATTGAACAGGAAGAAAATAGTTCTAAAGTCTTCGTTTACGCGAACTAAACATCAAATTATTCAGCAAATTGGAGACGATGAACCCACTTGTAAAAATGAGTTACGCGAATTGAGTAATCAATTAACAAAGACTCAAAACGAAGCTCTCGAGATAATGGTTGAATTATCAAAGAAATACGAACTTCTGGAATCAAAAGAAAATGTAGGAAAACTCAATACAGAAATTGAAAACTAAACGACGAATTTTCGGAAATTATGGAACATGTAAATGAATGGATATTGCGCAATGGAAGTTTAAAATCAAGTTTAAAACAACAAAGGATGGAAAAAGAACTTAAAATGGAAACAAAAAAGCAATGTAATCAATGGTTACGTACTCAAAAAAGTAATGAACAGTATGATGAAGATAATAAAGAAGAAAATGGGAATAGCGAAATGGAACCAATCAAAACAACGCATATCATGCGTAAAATGGAAAATGAAATAATTGATTTGGATCAAAAGACTGCAAAAATTGGACATGATTTATGGAAACAACTCAAACGCGTCTCTATACCAATATTTAATGGTGATAAAAAGGACTATGAAAATTGGAAAGCTTCATTCTACGCATGCATTGATCAAGCCCCAGCGACATTTGAGTATAAATTACTTCAGTTACGTCAATATTTATGTGGAGACGCATTAAAAGCAATTGAAGGACTTGGGCATTCGTCATTCGCTTATGAAGCTGCAAAAGAAAGACTTGAAAGAAAATATGGCGGAACAAGGAGAAAAAATCTTATGTATTTGGATGAATTGAACAACTTTAAACCTATGAGGGAAAATAATCCAAAAGACGTTGAAAAGTTTGCGGATTTGTTGGATGTGGCAGTAACAAACTTAAAAGAAGCAAATCGAACAGAAGAACTTGGCGATGGGACATTGTACCATCAATTGCAAAAAAAAGTTCCTGAGATAATGTTAATAGATACAAACGATGGGTGTATGAAAACAAATTAAACGAAAATGTTAAAACTCTAAAAAAGTTTATTGTTGAAGAAGCAGATTTTAAATTGCAGCAACCGAAACTCTACATGGTTTAAAAAAAACTATTGGTAGCAAAGCACACGAAGGAAATTCTTACTTTGGTAACAGTGATCAAAAAAAGAAAATAAATTGGATACAGAAATGTTCTGTTTGCAAAAACGATCATAAAATATGGGAGTGTCCAACGTTTCAAAATCAAAATATTAAAGAAAGATGGGAGATAAGAAAAATAAACTCTGCTTTAGATGCTTGAATTCTAACCATTCGTCAAAAGAATGCAGGAACACAAGAATTTGTGGGGTTGATGGCTGTACAAATACCCATAATCATTTGCTTCACAAGAAAAGTCATAAAAAAGAAACAATTTCTGAAGACTACAAAGAAAAAGACACGATATTAGAAAATTCTCATACGTCAAACATCCAATTTCATTCAAATCACGTCATGAACTACATATCTCTTAGAACGGTGCCAGTTATTCTTCGTAATGGATATAAAAAAGTTGTGGTAAACGCATTGCTTGACGATGGAAGTACCAAGACATATTTGAACTCTGATGTAGCGGCTGAGTTGTCACTGCAAGGTAAAACCGAAAAAGTAACTGTAAACATGATAAATGGAAAAATTGATTCTTTCGAAACGATGCCGGTAGAATTTCAGTTGGAATCGTTGAATGGAGAAACAAAATTTACAGTGGAAGCTTTTAATGTTAATAATGTAACTGGAAACTTAAAAGCAGTTAATTGGGCAAATATGTCAAAAAGTCGGAAACATCTAAGCAAAAATCGAATTCCCAAATATTGGACCAAAACCAAAAATTGACATTCTAATCAGTGTGGATTACGCTGAGCTGCACTGTGCAATTAAGGAAGTAAAAGGAGGATTTAATGAACCAGTGGCTCGACTCACGCCGCTCGGATGGACATGTGTTGGTGGATACTGATGGATCTCTTCAAACCCATTTTACGAAAATAACATCTAGTACAAAGGAAATAGAAGATGCAAACAACACCATTAAAAAATTATGGGAAATTGAAGGCGACGAAGAGATGCAATTTAGAAAAATAATGACAAGTCCAGAAGACTCGACCACCCTTAATATAGTAACTAATTCGCTAAAAACTGAGAACGGAAGATATGAGCTAAAATTACCATGGAAAGGTAATAGACATTTGGACAATAATTATACAATGGCGTTAAACAGATTACAAAATACGGAAAAACGGCTAATGAAAAACAAAAGTCTAGGAGAAGAGTACAATAATATTATTAAGCAGTATCAAGAAAAGGGATACTTGGAGAAAATCAATAAAAGAGATCTTGGAGATGGTTGGTACTTACCACATTTTCCAATTCTTCGTCCTGATAAATCAACTACAAAAGTCAGAATTGTGTTTGATGAATCTGCAAAATATAATGGTAAATCAATTAATGATGTTATTTATCAAGGTCCAAAACTTCAACAAGACCTTGTGACTGTTTTGCTGAGATTTCGAAAATACCCAGTGGCTTTAGCTTGTGACATAGCAGAAATGTATTTAAAAATTGGAATACATAAAGATGACCAAAGGTACCAACGAACTTTATGAAGAAATCAAGATTCAACTGCCGAGCCTGAGGTATTTCAGTTTAATCGGCTCGTATTTGGAATCAACCTTTTATGGCTCAATTTGTAACGCAAGAACACGCAAGAAAGTATGCAAAAAAGTTTCCTTTGGCTTCTGAAGCTGTTCTTGAAGCAACTTACATGACGACACAATAACTTCTGTAGCTGATGAAAAAGTAGGAATTGAATTATACAAGGAACTCACGCTACTATGGGGTTCAGCAGGAATGTTTGCACGAAAGTGGCTTTCAAACTCGGTCGAAGTTCTTAAAATAACACCAGAAAATGATCGTGCAGAACATATAAATTTAGATTCTGGAGAATTGCCTGCAATGAAAACACTTGGAGTTGTCTGGAAAGCAAAACCTGATTTATTTAGTTTTCATTCTGTAACAACCGAAGAAAATACGGTATATACAAAACGAGTTTTGCTTAAAAAAATAGCAACGTTGTTTGATCAATTGGGTTTTTTGGCACCATATATCATTCGAATCAAAATAATTATGCAGGAACTGTGGATTGATGAAATTGAGTGGGATGATGCAGTTCCGGATTGGATTGCAAATAATGTTGATCAATGGTTTCAAGAACTAAACGATCTCCCAAAAATAAACATTCCCAGATGTTTACAAACAACCTCAACAGTAACAAATAGGTCAATTCATGTTTTTACGGATGCGTCTTGTAAAGCTTACGGTGCTGTTGCTTACCAACAATGTTTATATGACACAGGAGAAGTGACCAGTGTGATCATAATGTCAAAAGCCCGAGTTAGTCCATTGCAATCTATTAGTATACCAAGACTTGAGTTACTTGGAGCTGTCCTCGGTTTACGACTTGCAGAGAAGATTGTCAAGGCATTGAAGCTGGAAACTAAGGACGTAACTATATGGTGTGATAGTCTTAATGTTTTGTGGTGGATAAAAAATCAAAGTCGAAAGTTGAAACCATTTGTTGCCAACCGTGTTGGATTCATTCAATCAAAGACTGAACTAAAACAATGGAGATACATACCAACAAAAACTAATGTAGCTGATTTACTATTAAGAAGAACAACAGTTAAAGAATTAGAAAGCAATTATGTATGGTGGCATAAACCAAGTTTCCTTAATTCTTTAGAAGAAAAATGGCCACAGAATCACATTGAAGTTACACAAGAGGCTTCAATTGAAGTAAAGAAAAATTCAGTATTAATGAATTTTGCATTATCCACTAAAGTAACAAAGCAATTGCTCGATATAAGCAAGTTCTCATGTTGGAAAAAACTTGTCAGGATAAACGGCTGGATCCATCGGTTTATAGGAAATTGTCGATTTGAAACAGACTTTCGTAAAAAGGGTGATATATCAGCTGATGAATATCATGAAAGCGAAAAAGAAATCATAGCTAAAGCTCAAAAAGAAAGCTTTAAAGAAGAATATAGCAACATTGAAAAAGGAAAACCGATATCGATATCAAGTAAAATTATTTCTTTAAATCCGCAAATTGACAAAGACGGATTATTGCGATCTTGCAGTCGATTGCAAAATGCCCATTACTTACCCTACGATGTCAAGTATCCAATCATTTTGCCGAGAGGACATACAATAACAAAATTGATTGTTAAGCATTACCATGACGAAGCCAATCATGTGATGGGAACAAATCAATTATTAAAAAACTATCAGAACGATATTGGGTAATAGGAGGACGAGAAGAAATCCGAGATGCAGAAGCAAAATGCAACAAATGTAAATTAAGAAGATGTAAACCTGCTAAACAGCTGATGGCCCCTTTACCAGAATGCGTTTTAAAGAACCACTACGTGAGTTTGCTAGAATTGGTATCGATTTTGCTGGTCCATTTCTTACTATGCAAGGTAGAGGGAAGTTACGGCAAAAGAGATACTTGTGGTTGTTTACCTGTTTACTATCACGAGCAGTACATCTTGAGATGGCTTATAATCTAGATACAAATTCATTCCTCAATGCTTTTTATCGAATGGTCAATAGAAGAGGATTACCATTAGAAGTTTTAACGGACAATGGAACAAATTTTGTTGGAGGATGTCGAGAACTAAACGAAATTGTCAACGACTTAGATAAGGATAAAATTACTAACTCTACAGCTGATAAAGGAATCAAGTGGCACTTTAATGCTCCGTTAGGACCTCATCTAGGCGGTGTATTTGAAATAATGGTCAAAGCTGTTAAACGTGCAATGACTGGGATGCTCGAAAAAGCCGATATTACAGATGAAGAACTCTGTACGGCATTTACGGGTGCTGAGAGTTTATTGAATTCTCGCCCACTAACATATCAGAGTGCCAATATAAAAGATGATATTCCATTAACTCCAAATCATTTTTTGATCGGGCAAGTTGGTGGACAATTTGCACCTGACTCAGTTCAATCATCCTAAAAAGCGCTGGCGTCGAGTGCAAGAACTACTAAGTCATTTTTGGAAACGATGGATGCGAGAATGGCTTCCATCTTTATCCAAAAGATATAAATGGAATCAGAAAAAACGCGAAATAAAACGGATGACATTGTGTTCATTTGTGATCGCCATCGGATCAATACTCCTTTATCAATTATTTTAAATGTTTTCAAGCAAATGGACATAATCAAAGATTAAGAAAATACCATCATTAGTCAACCAGGGTTTATCTTTAGCTGATCTTTTAAAGATTTAAAAAAATGCCTGATTAATTCTATTTCCGTCACATATTATAGCTTTAACTTGACTCGAAGACCCCTTTATTGATTGAATAGTAATATTAATTTTTTCAAAAAGAAATTAAGAGTTTAATTTACTTATATGTATCATTTTGGAAATGAACAATGGTCCACCAAATAAGTATTAACCATTAAACCCAAAATAGCTTTTGCAAGAGAAGTTGAATTGTCAATTGCTTTTCCAAATAATATATCACCATGGTAACATAAACCTCATAATTCAATAAAAAATAAAGTTTTTGTTTTTCTTCAACAGATATTAATCAAAAAATGAAAAATATTAATCAAAAAATGTTTCTCATTTAATTTTGAAACGTTTGAAGTTATTCTTGTCAAAGTTCTTATAGAAGGCAATTGGTAATATGTTCGCAATTAATTACACAAACTTCTAAATGTAGCAAAATACTGAAAAGATCTAATAATAACCTCCTTAGAATAAGTCTTACTACCAACGCACTGTGTACCCATATAGGCTAAATGTTCCTGAATTACAATTTTTTTCTGCCTGGAATTAAATGCTTCAAATAAACCAAAACTTCTTCTAATATAGACCACGTGTTGATTTTTGAAATTCTGTTTTTAGATATTGTAGAAACTTTATTTTTGGCACCATAATGATAAGTTTCAAAATCTAAATCCACACTAATCTTGATTAAAAAATAAGGAACTCCATTTGAATAAACTTGTGATCGTAAATGAATAGTGTTTTTAATCATAAAGCATACTAATGGAACACCTAAATCTCTTTCATTATTTAAAAATTTTTTTTTTCATTTCAGCAAAAGTTACTCTATCTTTTTCTAAAAAATTGGATTGTTCATCTTGAGTGAAATTTAGAAAATACGAAGAAGCACGAGTTAGTGCACGTAATGGAGGAAGATGGATAGGAACTTGATAAGACGGTATGCCAGGCCAAACAGATGGTGGAAATTTAGGCTGATATTTTCCTCTATTTGTTTTTCAAAATTTATCGGCCAATGCAACTCACAAACTACAGCGTCATTAGTTACTTTTAAGTTTGCATTTGGAATTACTTTAATCCACATTTGTTTTTCTTCTTCATTTTTAGGAAATCGATATACTGAAAGCTTTAAATTATCAGATTTCTTTTTTACCGATAAATAATTTGTAGTGCTATAAATGCAACATTTTTTACCCATATTTTTATATCACTAAAATGGCGACTAAAGTTAAGCGAAATTTTAAATAGTCAGATACGTGGTTTTCACGTTGGCAAGGCCTCTAGTAAAGATCGCCCTGATCAAAAATAAAAATAGATTTTAATATAATCGATCAATTTGCGGCAATGACGCATACTCCAAAAAGGACCGTTTATATGGTCAAAGCTTTATATGTTCGACCGTTTATATGGTCAATTGTTCAGACTGAAATATTACATAAATAAGTTAAAATATTAGTACTTAGCTGTATTGTATGTGTTATAAATTAAATAAATTACCAAGTACTACAAGAAATGTCATTAAAACAATATGGTCAAAGGTATTTTACTACTTAGACTATGCGTCGTTGCCGGCAAATTGATCACTTGTGTTATGTAAAAATTTTTTTTTGTGGATATATAAGAGTAAAAGTAAATCGCGATATTGCTATAATATTTATTTATTATAACTAAAAATAAAAATAATAACACTAAAAGTTCTTAGTATAGATTAAAAAAAATACGTTTTCTTATGTGTATCTGCAGTGCATATGTATGCAGTCAAGCCTATGCCAACGATAAAAACAATTATTGCAAACCATAATAAAGTATGTATATAATATATACATACCTTATTTAATAAGGTATGTATATATTATATATTATTTATTATTGCTAACCATAATAAGCTATTATGGTTAGCAATAATAAATAATTAGCAATTATATATAACAATTATTGCTAACCGTAATAAAATGTAATATATATATATATATATATATATATATATATATATATATATATATATATATATATATATATATATATATACATATTATATATTATATATAATACATATATATATATATATATATATATATATATAATATATAATGTATATATACATAATATGTATATATATAATATATATTATATATATATATATATATATATATATATATATATATATATATATATATATATATATATATATATATGTATATATATATATATATATATTATATATAATATATAATATGTATATATTGTATATATATATAATATATATATATATATATATTATATTTAATATATAATATGTATATATTGTATATATATATATATATATATATATATATATATATATATATATATATATATATATTATGTATACATATTATATGTATAATATATATATATATATATATATATATATATATATATATATATATATATATATATATATATATATATATATATATATATATATATAATATATAATATGTATATATTGTATATATATATATATATATATATATATATATATATATATATATATATATATATATATATATATATATATATATATATATATATATATATATATATATATATATATATTATGTAATATATATATTATGTATACATATTATATGTATATATATATATATATATATATATATATATATATATATATATATATATATATATATATATATATATATATATATATATATATATATATATATATATACATTTTATTACGGTCAGCAATAATTGCTATATATAATTGGGTTAACTATAATTTAATGTCTTTGAAGAATTCTAAATTTAGTCCTATAATATTATTGTATTTAGGGATATGGTAGTCCTTAGATATTCTGGTGTAATGATAATGCACATTCTCATTTTCAACCCACATACTTTTCAGACACAGTACAGACATATTTTCAAATTTGATTACATATATAAACGTTATCTAATGTTAAAAATATAAGCGTAAGAACTTTTACTACAATAATTTGTTTGATTGATAACCAATTCAATTCATTAAGCATATCAACACTATGTGTATACCAATCACATTGAGAATAGATCTCATTGCTCTATTCTGTAGTAGCCAAAGGATTTAAAGATTCCCTTCATTATTTCCCAATAAGAGAGAGAGGTATGGTATTGAAAGTGTGGTGCAATTATTACATTGAAAACTAGTATTTTATCCATTTAGTAGTATATGTAAATATTTTATACAGATAACCTGATTTTTTAGATATTTTTTACTATATAATTAATATGTTCTTTAAAGTTCAAAACCACATCTAAAACCATTTATAGACAATATTTTGAATGGCTGATTTTGAATTGAATCCAAACTATTTTTTAATAAATAGATTATTAACTTCAAAGCAGTTAGATAATTGAGTGTGAAATGTCAACTGTGTTATATAATTGAATGTGTAATGTCAACTGTGGCTCCTATCTTAAGGAGCCACAGTTGACATTACTTTTTGAATAGGTGTTATAGTAGATTTTTTTCATTTATCAGGTACTATACCATCTGCAGCGATAGATTAATTAACTTCATAAGTTTATTTTTAATAGAAGGATACATATATTTTTTTAAATTGATACAAAGGATAAATATATTTTTTTAAATTGATTATTGTTTTCACTTTTTTTTTTCTTCTTGCATATTTAGTACAAGTTGATAAAGTGTTTCTTGACATATATTTTAAAATTTATATAAAACTTTTATATTTTGCCTACCCTAATATGATTTTTAACTTTATATATTCTGTCACTTTTAATTGTATTTTGGATGTCAATAATACTTTTGATAAAGAATTCATTGACTATTGAATTGTTACTTTTATCTTCAAATTTTCCTGATGTATCAGTAATCTTTCTTAATATTTTTCACATTGTTTTTTATTTAACTTAATATATTTAGCTCATTTAAATGCTATTTAAAATTACAATAAAAATCACAATAAAGAGAGTTCAAATTCCGCAAAACTACTATTTA